GGGTAGGGGGGTACACCTAAGCGTGCGAATGAATCAGCCCCACTGCATGTTCCCGATCGCGCTCAGGAATTGCGCGCTCCATTTTGTGACTCAGATCTCCATGGATCACGCCATGGACGACGTGCCGGAGGGCGGGGCAGCTGCGGCTGCATCACCAGCCCCAGCACCCTTCGACATCCGCCAAGGCGCCGTGCCAAAGGATGGATGCCCTCATGTGTTTGTGGGATCTGGCGCTCCCAAGGATGCAGACTGCGCTGAGGTGCCCCTTGACATCGGCAAATATGGCATTCATCCAAGGGTCGTCGCCGGATACCACAGGAAAGGTACAAGCCAAGCGAGGCACACACAGACAGATGCATATGGGTGAATGTGTGTGTCCACGTTCTGACCTGACGTGTGTGCAGGTCTGAAGCGTCTGTATCGGTGGCAGGCTGAGTGCCTGTGTGTGCCCGGAGTGTGCGATGGCCACAACCTCATCTACTCAGCACCGACAAGCGGCGGTATGCGAATGCCAGCCACACAGACCACACCGAGAGGGAACATCTCATCTCACACCGCCGCCATCTTGGCTGCGCTGCGTTCAGGCAAGACCCTCGTGAGTGAGGTTCTGCTCTTCCGGCACCTGTCCGGCGGAGCCTCCTCATTCACCACTGCCAAGATGGTGATGGTCGTCCTGCCCTTCGTGTCGGTGGTGTCTGAGAAGGAGCAGCAGCTCAAGCGCGTGGTGCCGTCAGATCTTTACTCCATCCAGGGATTCTATCACGGGTCGGCTCACAAGCTGGGCGACTCGCTGCTGTCGACCGACCCCACCGACCGGCAGAGGACGGACATCGCCGTGTGCACGATAGAGAAGGCCAACGGCATCGTCGACTTCATGCTCAGCAAGGACGGCGACGCCAGTGTGGCGGGAGAGGGGGAGGGGGCCGGCCGCGTGCTGAGAGGCCGGGTGGGCGTGGTGGTCATTGACGAGATACACATGCTGAGCGAGGCCATGAGGGGCTACCTGCTGGAAGTGCTCCTCACCAAGATCCAGCACTTCGGCAAGGTACAGCGTCCATCCCATCCACGGAAAGGGAGGGGGAAGGCCCACATACATTGGAAATATCTGTCCGTCTGTGAATGCGCTGCAGGGCAAGATCCAGGTGGTCGGCATGTCGGCGACCCTCCCCAACGCCATCGAGATCGGCTCATGGCTCAGCGCCAAGGTCTACCTCTGCACCTACCGACCCGTACCGCTCCACGAGTACATCTCATGCCAGTCACGCATCACACACAAGCCTGATGCAGCGGCAGCGGCAGCGGCGGCAGCCGGTGGGGCCGCACCTGTCTGGACGGACGTGACGGCATCGGTGCTGCCCTTCCCCCTTCCTGCCTTCCTGGAGCAGGGGTGTGTCCTGGAGGCCATTCGCGTCGTCGAACCCTCGTGGTTTGTGCGACGGACAATGATACCCACATACACATACACAGACATCCTGACTGGCCTCACAAGTGTCCGTCCGTGTTGGTGTGTTTTGCCTGCAGGTGTTGGCTGAATCGCAGCACTGACAGCAGCAGCGACAAGGCCAGGGGCAACGTGTGCATGGCGCATGACGTGTGTGTGGCGGCGCTGTGCCCCGTGCTGGAGGGCCACAGCGTGCTGGTCTTCTGCCCCACCAAAAGGGACGTGGAGATGACGGCACAGGTGCTGGGGGCCCTGCTGCCAGACAAGCCCAGAGGCGCCGCCACAGATGCGGACAGACAGATGGGTGGGCATCCACGTGACGATAGCTATGGATGTAGAGCGAGATGGGAAATCTGCCTTTCCTCTCTGTGCGTTGGTTGGTTGGTTGATTGGCTGATTGGATATATCAGCGTTCCGTCGCAACATGTTGCTGCTGCAGTTGTCGCAGTGTCCCAACGGCCTCGATCCCGTCCTAAAGCAGAGCGTGCCCAAGAGTGTGGGCTACCACCACGCCGGCCTCACCGTGGAGGAGAGACGAGTCATCGAACAGGCTTACCGGTGCGTGGCTGTGCTCCTGACCAATCAATCAACCACATCAGCCAGCCACACCAACAGCCTTGGCTGTGCTGTGTGTGTCTTCAGCGACGGCACTCTGTCATTGCTGACGGCCACGTCCACTTTGGCAGCAGGGGTCAACCTGCCCGCCCGTCGAGTTGTGTTCAAGTCGCCCTACATCGCCCGCGACATGATGGACGCCGTCAAGTACCGCCAGATGGCCGGCCGGGCGGGTCGTGCGGGTCAGGGCAGTGTGGGGGAGGCCATAATGGTGTGCAAGCGGGAGGACGAGAGGAAGGTCAAGGAAATCATGACCAGCGGCATGGACAGACTCAACAGCACCTTCACCAAGAACTCCGTCGGGCTGCAGCGCCTCTTTCTGGTGAGACAGGGGAGAGGGGAGAGCGGATGATACGGCTGCATGGCATGAACAGAGGAGATGTGTGTGTGTGTGTGTGTGTGTGTGTAGGAGGTGTTGTCGACCACAGAAGGGTTCGGCACCAACCAGGACCTGATTGGCCTGACCCGTGCGACCCTCCTCTACGCTCAGAAGGACTCCAGCGCCCAACATGATACCAACACGGTGAGTGACTGCCTGCCTTCTCCAGAACAACCTGTGTGTGTGTGCATCAACCAACGTGCTCACACACACTTACACACACGTGTCTGTTTGCTGTTTGTTGGACTGGCCGATGCATGCAGACGATGGAAGCTGCCCGCACAGCCTTCCCAGAGACCAACGAAGCCGTCACAGAGCTCGAAAAGCACGGTAGGTCGCATACACACACGAATGAATGGGCAGAGCAGAGCAGCCATGTGGACGTACGTGTTTGGTTGGATGCATCCGTGAGTGGGTGCAGGTCAGATGCGCTACAACCGTCAGCTGGACCGGTACGAGGCCACCGCCCTGGGCAAGGCCGGCTGCCGCGCCGGCCTCACGCCCGAGGAGGGGTTCCTCATCTACCTGGACCTCGACAGAGCAAAGGAGGCACTCGTAAGTATATATCCCTGTGTCAACACACCACCCCATACACCCATTGCATGCACCAGGGCCGTCTCTGTGTTGTCACGTTCTAATAATCAGGTGCAGACGGCTGATTTGTGGGTGCTGTACCTGGTGTCGCCTCTGGCGTCGCCCCTCCGTGCGAATCAGATCCAGTGGGGGACATATGTCGACATGCTCGTGCAGTTCCAGGAGCCAACCGCCTCCATGATCCGCAAGATCGGCATACACATCGACTACGTCGACGGCGTCAGGCAAAAGGCGAGAAGAGGGAGAGGAGAGAGAGGGGGGCATGGCAGCCATGCGTCGCATCCTGATGGCCTGGTGTTGTGTGTGTATGTGTGTGTGTGTTTGGGGTACAGAAAGGTCAGCTGCCTCCGCATGAGCTGAATGGGACGGACTACAGGCGCCACGCACGATTCTACGCCACACTCATCCTATGGTGCGCGCGAACACAACACAACACAACACATAGGTGTATGTGTGTGCTCCCTCCCCATTCATTGACGGTGCGGTGCCTGTGTGAGCAGGTTCCTGCTTCGCGGTAGTCCCTTGAGCGATCTGGAGGAGGTCTTCTCGCTAAGCAAAGGCGAGATACAAAGCATACACTCACAGGCCATACTACTCGCCGGACGAGTATC